AAGTCCTGTTCTTCCTTATATAATCACTATGGTGAAGCCTCACATAACCACCCTCACCAGAGCAATACAGCTTGCATCTTTCTTTGTATAATCTGTGAAAAACCCAAATAGCGTCCATGTTGAAGCCTGATGTAAGTCTGCTTTCAGAACTGCCTGTCCTACTAGACTATAAGGCCCTTAAGGACAAAGGTTGTAAACTTTGTGTCTTCTGTCTTCATATCATCAGCACCTAGGACTATGCTACTAGATTGCTATTTGGAATTGATCACTGCTATGGTTATTAGACTACTGCCATTTGAATATAAATGAATGGCCATGATTTAAATCTCAATATTCAAAATGCACAATTACAAAATAAAGACATTTCTGTAGTTATAAGATTTTGAGGGGAAAAAAAAGAGCTCTAAAACCAGGAAACAATTTCATCTACTTAGTATGGTTTACCTATACCCCAGACTGAAGTCAAGATATTGCTATTTACTAAGGCCCTTCTCAATTTTGTGATAAATCAAATCAACTCTACAAGTTTTAGCAAGTTATGCCAGCCCACTTTAATAAGAGTTCTGTTTCTTATCTGAGTCTATGTGGTCAGTTTGGCAAGGTATGGCAGAAATAGCACATCTGTGAATGTCAGAAAAACCATGGTCTGAATCAAAGCTCAATCTTTTAATTGCATATAACTTGGAGATATTTAATATTCTTGAAGGTCAATTTTTTAATGGCCATACAAGCTAGTTAAAGCAATTCACCCAAACACTCCACTCATAGGTACCTAGTACAAAGTGTTGCTCAGTGATGTTTATTTCCTTTCCCTTTATCAAATAATTTTTTTTTATTTTTATCTGAGCACCTCTTCATAAAGATGACAAAAGCCTCTCCCAGAACCAAGCTATTTCCTCCCTAGACTGACAACCAAGAATTCTCACCAACTGTTGGTTTTCTCTTTAGAAAGTAACACCTTTCCTCTTTCTTCTCCCTGTCTTTCTTTCTCTGTTTAGCTAAATCTAAACAAAGTGATCAAATAAACATAATAGATCAAAAACACTCATTTACCTTAAATGCTAACCTGCTGCCACCGGTTGCTGGGATCTGAAACTAGGGACGCTCTCTCCGGCTCCCCTGGGAGGGCTCAGCTCCTCCATCCACCTCCCTCCCAGCTCCCTCCCCTCCTCACACTTGCTGGTCGCCCTCTTCAGGCTGATTGCACAGCTTGGAAATCACTGAAGCAGATTCACAGCCTAAGTGGCTAAGCTCACTGTCAATCCCTACCCTGGCTCTGCCTTTTCTCAAGTTTACACTTCTGTTGCCTAGGAAATCCAGTGGCTGTGAAAGCTCAAGTTGTTTGTCTTCTGAGGGAAGCCAGCAGGAAGTGTAGCTGGCAATTGTTTGGTTTAGAGGACAGCATCAAAATGTGCCTCATATGTTGTATAAGATAACTCCTTCCTGCTCTTCTGTTGTCTCTGAATAGCTTACTGCTAGGATGTCTCATCTATCCAGTAAGATTTAAAACCTCAGCACACAGGGGGAGCCATAGGTGTAATTGTAAGTGATTCAAAGCCCTCTCTCCTTCTCCACATTCTCACGTTGATAGGATACCATTGCCTACTCTTTCCATCCTTGGTGTCTTCTTTTTTCCTTTCTTCTCTTCTCTTCTCACACTTGTTCCTTAGTAATGAGTTTGCCAGTTAAGAAGCAGTCTGGTGCCCTGTTTAGAAAACAGTACCTAACTCATGCTCTCCTTCAAGACATCCCAACCTACCTCATCATTTCCATCCCTTCTCTTGCTTCCACCAATAAGTACTACAAAGAAACTAGGACATGTATTCCATGTTCTGTTCTGCACTGTACATTAACCTGTATTCTCAGGCAAGTGTGGTCATTGATTTCTACAATCTCTAGAGAAGACATTATATTTGTCTTGTCCACTTCTCAGCCTTGCCCTGGAGATCAAGGTGATATTCTCTGTGGATTTTAATAAAGACTTGCCTATGTTGAGGGAATTTCCAGAGGAGTGTGATTTGAGGAACAAGAAAAACCCACTTGCAAAATAAGTCCTTTGTCTCTCTTTTAGGGTTACATTCTGTTTTCAGAAGGTCCCTGTATATGGTACATGACACCCACCAAGCACTAAAAAGCTGTTGACACTGGCAGGGTATTTGATGTGCAACCAACGTCCACCCCAGGATAGTTCTGACTGTCTTCCCCACACACCATTAGCTTTTTAGCCAGAAACATTCTTCCTTACTGCAGCTGAGCTCATGGTATTACACTGTGTTATTTCATTACACTAAGTAAAATTACTAAGCTAAACTCACCACTGAGACAAGATGCCCTGACAATGACAGATAGATCTACCTTTCAATTAATTCATCAGTAAGACTGTGGGAAGCCACTTGAGAGGACCAGGATACTCTGGTTCATCTTTGCATCTTCCAAATTGCTCCCCATGGTGCCTTGTACAGACATAAAATCAATCAGTGCTGTCTGAATCAAATTGTTGAACGAGATAAAATGCATTCATATTAAGGGCATTCAAAATATGAAATCTGCTTTTCAGAAATAGTTCCTTGACTATGTTAAAGTTTAAGACAAATATTCCATTTACTTCCTTTTCATGGTTAATTGGTTGACAAATAAACACCTCACTAAGCCTGCAATCAGGATGTCATAAACCAAACAACAGAAGATTGACATGGAGGAAAATCACATCTACAGAGCATTTAGTGTAGCTAGGCAAACAAAGAATCAATATGTGATTGTGGTTGGTGGTAATGGTAGAAACACATAAGTGGAAGATAATGAAAGGAAACATAAATGACAGGTTGAACTTCATTTCAACATCTTAAAACATACCTCCAGATACATGCATTTTATATGTAGATCCTTATTGTGTGTCATGCTCCATGCCCATTAAAGATCAAAACATTACATGTTTTGCCTGTGTTTGTCATTTTCCATGTGTTATTTTATAATTATGGAGAGACTCCTGGTCCCACTCACAAAATAAATTTGGATTACGTCTCAGTATATAAACCTGATCCCTTAGTCTGTTTACCATAAGTCGTCTGATTCTCCAGGAAGTAACTCAAATTCTCATACACACATATCTCCTCCTTCATCAAAACTGTACTAGCTCTACCATTTTAGAAATTATTAAGATGTGTCTTCATTTCCAATAATACTCACATGCAATAATAATTCATGAATAGTACATTTTAAGGTGCATAATAAAAGACACTTAACACATCTCACACACAGAGTTTTCAAGTCAATTTTAAAGTATAATTTGTATAAAGAAACTGCATTATTTGGATATAATACAAATGTCATTCCATTCACCTGTTGATGGGCATGTAGATTTTTCTTAGTCTGGGGCTATTATAAATAAAGCTGCTATAAACATTTGTGTACAGATTTTCAAGTGGACATATGTGTTCATGAACTTGAGTAAATACCAAAAGTGAAATACTGGTTCATTTGGCAAGTGCGTGGCTTAACTGAAAATTGCAGAGTGATTTTCCTATGTGGCTGCACCATTTCACATTCCCCTCAGCAATGGAATGGGTGTGAGTTCCAGCGGCTCTGTCTTCTTATTCACTATTGATATGATCAGTCCTTTTAATTCTAACAAGTCAGGTAGATGTGCTATGGTTTTATTTTGCATTTCTCTAATGATTAATATGTCAAGTAACTGTTCATGTGATTACTGGCCATTTGCATTATCTTCTTTTGTGAAGTGCCTGCTCAAACTTTTTGTCCATGTTAGTACTGATTATAAGATTTGTTTGGATATTCTAGATACAAGTTATGATAATGCAAAAGCAAATATGAGCATATAGTCATTTGAAAGTAAAATATATTATAAAGGAACCTACCAGAGAGAGATCCTGGTGTCTAGTAAAGGATCTAAGAGTCAAAAAGAAGGAGGGGAGTGAGAGCTACAGACAATAGGATGGAGCCACCACACCAACCCTTATCAAAGAAACAAACAGCAAACAAAACAAAACAAAAAAAACCCTGGTGTTTAAGGCACACTTTCTCCGTGTATGTTGCTAGGAATTGAATGTAATTCCTATACACTGAGGGTTACTTTCTATTTCTGCCACATTAGGGTGGCAGAAAGATGTTTCCTAAATCAACAAAGTCCAGGGAGCTACCATACTCACTGGACCTGAGGCCCCAGAGCCTTGTGCAGAGGTCTGGGCTCTGACATGAGGTCACCATGACTACATTTTTAAGAGTGGGAAACATAAGAAGGGAATTTTAAGAAGTGAAAACCACAGCATCAGCTGTGGCCCAAAAACAGGCTCCAGGCCTGACCAGCAAAGAGAGTGCTCTTTGCAGGGGAGGACTCAGCACAGAGACCACGGGTGGAGTCCTGGGAGGGCCACCCTTGCCTAACTGCAGGACAGAGTCCAGGCTTCCTGAGCTTGAGGTGAGGTGAGAAGGAGACACAAGAGGAAGACCCAAAATGGAAACTGGCCAATATCCTTTGTCATATCATAAAAAGTGAGGATGGAGAAAGGTCAGAAAGCATGAGAAGTGTCCAGACAGCAAGGATGAAGTAAGCAGGGCCCTGTGTCTAGGAACAGGAAGTGCAGAGGAAGGCAGGGCTGTGTGCTGAAGGTCAGGGCCTGAGTGAGGAGTCTATTGATGAGGGGCAAGTCAAGAAGCCAAGATAAAATTCACACACACAAAAAGTAGAACAGGGACTGAGATTGTGGCGTGAGATGTGGGGGCAGGGATATGAGGAATCACTGTTTGATCAGCATGAAGTTTTAATTGGGGTTGATGACAGCAGTTCTGAAATGAGTGACAGTGATGTTTGCACAATGATGTCAATGTACTTAATGCCACTGACTGTACACTTAATGGTTAGAATGGCAAATTTTATAGAATATATTTTTTACCACAACTTGAAAAAAGAATCCCAAGATTACATCATAAGAATTTCTAAACAGATGCAGTAAATGGTGAGGAAATATTTGTGTGCTACCCTCAGGTGCCACTATGGGGAAGACACCAGGGCTGCCCTGTGCTGGGGAACGCCTTCTAGAACCAGTGGCTCCCCAAACACCCATCAAGGCTGCACCCCCATCAGGCCTTCTTCAGCTTCCTGGCCCCACACAGCCACCTGGCCACCATGCCCAGCAGCTTCCCACAGAGCCACAGGGTGCCCAGGGTGACCACCAGCAGGAACAAGAAGACGTCCAGCAGGTATTGCTCATGCCACGGCTGCTGCAGGGCATGGGGCTTGAGGTGGGCCGCACCCCCTGTCTGGAGGATGTGGTCGATCCAGCCCACCAGCCTCTGGGCAGGGGTCAGGGGGTGGGAGCGCCTGATGATGCTGGCAGCCACCGCTGCTGACTTGTACCTGTTGGCAGACCCAGAGGTGGGTGTTACTCAGGTGGTCTCAGAAGTCTTAGAGATCTTATATCACACACACTCTTCCCTCCACACACAGAAGACTCATTTTCAAGGAAAAGTTGTTGGCCTGGTCTTGCCATAGTCTAACTGGTTCCACTGAAAGGTTTAAACTGCTCCCTCCACACAAAGTTCCTTGCCTAGTGCTAAAGGTGCTAAACTATAAAACAGTGACCAAGCTGCAAGGAAAAGTCTCTACCCAGGAGGCTTAAGGTCGCTAAAGGAAAAAATATATATGAATATATGGGATGTAACATATCCACGACTCAGGGTAGATGTCCCTGAAATCCTAATAAGTTATTCAGTTAATCCTGGTTATCAGATCATTGTGCTGGATGGGAATTTACCTAAGACATCATGGGCCCTTTTACTGACTCAACAGAAATTCATCCCAACTTACTGTGTGGCAGGCCCTGTGTTAGGCCCTGGGGATGCAGGGGAAAGCAAGAGACACACTGGGCCATCCAGGGGAGCTTCCTCTCTACTTTCTAGTGTGAGTGACGCACAACAAATTAAAACGAAAGAAATGGGGTAGTTACTGATCCTGAGAAGTGTTAAGAAGGAAAAATGAATTATGATTGAAGGGGGTGAGAGAGAAGTGCATTTAGGACTGTCAGACAAAGATCACCTATCTGAGGAAAGGACATTGGACATGAGCCTGACTGCCATGAAGGAGCCAGTCCTGAGAGGAGAAGGAAGGATGTTCTAGGAAGCAGCACTGACAAAGCACCTGAGGCAGGAAACAATTTGGCATATTAGAGGACAGAAAGGCAACCTCTGCCTCAGTGCAATTCTGCTATAAGCAGCCCCAAAATCCCCTCAGAATCTTCACAACCCTTTTGGTAGAAAATTGTTCTTGGCATATAACCTAAATGCCTAGTCTTGCTCTCAGAGGAAATAGGTTAGCTGTTAGTATCATACTAATATCATTCTGTGTCCTGGAAGTTTCACTTTTATTGCAAAAATGTGCCATACAGGGCCCTTCGTATTTCATATCTTCATTCAGCCTACATGACGACAAGTTCAGAGAGCTCCAAACCACTTGTGTTCCATGACTTTCTTCATCTTCAGAGCAAATGTCTTTGCCTTTATCTGCATAATCTGGATAGAGACACCAAACTTTTAGCTTCTGCTCAGACCAAGTTTTCAGGCTGATCTCCAAGGATGGGAATCCCCACCATGGGCATACCATGTTGGATGGCCTCCATTATGCTATTCATCCCACCGTGGGTGACAAAAAAAAAAAGGATGCGTGGGTGAGCTGTTGTAAATCAGGAACAGATCAGAATATGTCAGGCTGAAATCTTTCAGAACACCAGGGAAAGCATCTCAACAATAAACATTAAAATAATAAAATTAAATAAGGCAAAATAAAATAAGATAAAAGGACACAAATAAATGGAATAAAGCCCAGGCTTACTGGGCTCTAAGACTTAATACTTTAAATATGTCATTACTATCCAAAATGATCTCAAATACCATGCAATCTCTATCAATAGTGAATAACATTTTGTTGCAGAAATAAATAACCTACTCTAAAATTCATATGGAACTTCAAAAGAACCTGAGTACACAAAACATCATTGACAAAAAGAAGAGTTGAAGGTCACACATTTCCAGATATCAAAATTTAATACAAAGCAACAATAATCAAAATAATGTGGTATTGGCATAAAGATAGATATATACATACATGAATAAAAAACAAGATGTATATTTGGTCAAATAACTTATGACAGGGGCGCCTGGATAACTCAGTTGGTTAAGCATCTCACTCTTGATTTCGGTTCAGGTCATGATCTCACAGTCGTGAAATTGAGCCCCATGACAGACTCCACACTGGGCATGGAGCCTGCTTAAGATTTTCTCTCTCCTTCTCCCTCTCCCCCTCCCTCACTCACACTCTCTGTAGATGATAGATAGATAGATAGATAGATAAATAACTTATGACAAATGTGCCAAGACCATTCATAAAATAAAAGACAGTGTTTTCAATAAATGGTGTTGGAACACTGGATATCCACATACTAAAGATTGAGTTTGAACCAGTTTTATTATACCATACTCTAAATCAACATAAAATGGACTAGAGATCTAAAGGTATGAGTTAATAGTATAAAACTCTTAGCAAAAAATATAGGGAGAAATCTTCATGTCATTATATTTGGTAGTGATTTCTTTGATAAGACACCAATAGCACAGTCAACAAAATAAAAAATAGTGAAATTGTATTTCATAAAAAATAAAAACTTTATGAATCAAAGGACACTATCAACATAGTAAAAGGTCAACCAAGGAAGTGGGAGAAATATTTGCAAGTCATATATCTGATAAAGGATTGATATCCAGATTAAATTAAGAACTATAACTCTCTCCAACCCCCCCATCAAAATCCAAAAATTGGCAAAGACTTGAACAGATATTTTTTCAAAGAAGATATATAAATGTCTAATAAGTTTATGAAATGGTAAAATTCACTAATCAGGGAAATTTTAATCTAACCATAATGCGACACCAATTCCCACCCATTAGGATGGCGAATAACAAAACTAAAACACACACATGCACACACATACACAAACAGAAAATGACAAGTGTTTGTGAAAGTATGGATAAATTGGAACCCTTGTGCGTTGTTGGTGGAAATGTAAATTTGTGCAGCCACTGTGAAAGACTATATGGCAGTTCCTCAAAAAATTAAATATTACAGGGGCGCCTGGGTGACGCAGTCGGTTAAGCGTCCGACTTCAGCCAGGTCACGATCTCGCGGTCCGTGAGTTCGAGCCCCGCGTCAGGCTCTGGGCTGATGGCTCAGAGCCTGGAGCCTGTTTCCGATTCTGTGTCTTCCTCTCTCTCTGCCCCTCCCTGTTCATGCTCTGTCTCTCTCTGTCCCAAAAATAAATAAACGTTGAAAAAAAAATTTTTTTTTAATTAAATATTACAATTATATGCCTCAGAAACTCCATTTCTCAGTATATTCCCAAAAGAATTAAAAGCAGGGACTCAGGGGCGCCTGGGTGGCGCAGTCGGTTAAGCGTCCGACTTCAGCCAGGTCATGATCTCGGGGTCTGTGAGTTCAAGCCCCGCATCGGGCTCTGGGCTGATGGCTCAGAGCCTGGAGCCTGTTTCCGATTCTGTGTCTCCCTCTCTCTCTGCCCCTCCCCCGTTCATGCTCTGTCTCTCTCTGTCCCAAAAATAAATAAACGTTGAAAAAAAAATTTTTTTAAAGCAGGGACTCAAACAAATATTTGTACGCTACTTTTCATAGCAACATTATTCACAATAGCCAAAATTGGAAGTAACCCAAGTGTCTATCAACAGATGAATAAACAAATGTGGCATATACATACAATGAAATATTAGTCAGCCTTAAAAAATAAAGAAATTTGGACACATGCTACAACATACCTGAATCTTGAAGACTTTATGCAAAGTGAAACAAGCCATCACAGAAGAGCATCTATTGTATGGTTCCACCTGCATAAGACACCTAGAATTGTCAAATTCATACAGAAAAAAGGAGAATAGTAGTTGCCAAGGTCTGGATGCAGAGAGGAAACGAGGAGTCACTGTTGAGTGGGTATGAAGTTTCAGTTTGGGAAGAGAAAAATGTTCTAGAGATGGAGGCAGGTAATGGTTGCACAACAATATGAAAGTTCTTTTTTTTTTTTTTAATTTTTTTTTTCAACGTTTATTTATTTTTGGGACAGAGAGAGACAGAGCATGAACGGGGGAGGGGCAGAGAGACAGGGAGACACAGAATCGGAAACAGGCTCCAGGCTCTGAGCCATCAGCCCAGAGCCCGACGCGGGGCTCGAACTCACGGACTGCGAGATCGTGACCTGGCTGAAGTTGGACGCTTAACCGACTGTGACACCCAGGCACCCCAATATGAAAGTTCTTAATGCCCCTGAACTGTACCCTTCAAAATGGCTAAAGTGGTAAAATTTATACTATGTCTGTTTAGCCACAACAGAAAACTTGGGAAATAAGAGAAGAAAAACTGTACAAAGCCAAAATCTGTTATCTCAAAGTTTATACACCTTCACTTCCATTATTCTCTTCTTTAATAACTCCTGTCTCACTTCCAAGACTTGACCTACCATCATGTCAGGTAAGATCTGTGTTTTGGCCTAGTCTTATTTGTGCAATTGAATCATCCACTCTGTGGTCTGGCCAGTGTCACCAAAGGAACCCAGCCTCATGGCCATCTTCCTTATATCTCCACACATGGGGCCCCCTGTTCTCTCAACTTGGTGTGTCTTCCTTCCCAGTTCTGTTTCTTCAGATTCACAGAGTGTAAAATATACAGCCCTTAATTTATTTTTCAGGGTTTCCAATAGACATTTCTTACTGACCCAAGGGTTAAATTCTCTATAACTCCATCTTAATATAATGTTGGAGAGTTTTTGCCAATTTATTCAACATTTATCACTTACTGGTAAGGGTCTACTTTGCTGTAGGTACAGTATTAAGTAGTGAATCTTCAGCAGTAAGAAAATAGATATGGATCCTTCTCACATAGAGCAATCCAGCATTTAAACCAAAGTAAACATAAATATAATTTTTTTTAAATGCCACCATGAACCAAAGTCCATTTTGCCAATGAACCATTCCCCCAACTTTTTCTGTTCACTCAGTGCAAGATCAGTAGGGAAAGAATAGAGACTTTAGTGCCTAGAAAGTCCAGGCCAGATATGGGCTTTTGCTGCTCTGAGATGAATGGTGTTGGAATATTATGTACATCACCTAAACATCTGTCCTCTCATTTATAAAACTGGAGATCATGACAGTTCTCCCAAGGTGGCACAATATACAATATATGAGATAATGTCCATATAATGGTAACCCAGTACCTACCTGCAGGCAACAGGCAACCACTAAACTTAGCTCTACTTCATTTTTATAACTATTAGAGCAGTGGTTATGAGTTCAGGCTCTGCATTCAGA